GGCAGCTGCGGGGGGCAGCCGCGGGGGCAAGAAGAGCTCGGAGCCCCCCGGGGGGGGGCGGGGGCGGCACAAAAACAAGTACCCCCGGCCCCTCGGGGCACGGCCGCGTCGCGCCGCCCAGCCGGCGGCCCACAAAGGACAGAAGCGGGGCAGGGGCAGTCGCGAGGCATGGAGGAGCGGCCGGCTCCGTCCCCGAGCATTTCAAAGATCAGGGAAGCACGAGGTTGGAAGGGTCCCAGCCAGATCAGGGGCATGTCCACACGTGCACTTGAATGCACAGTAGCCTGTTTTAATGCGTATTAAACATCACTGAAAACCACACTATTTAGTTCGTATTTAGTGCTATTTAGTTGCACTTTAAAGCAGCACTGTTCAGTTGTGCTTTAAAAGATGTGCACTAAGGGTCCCTTGACCACGGGGCTCTTTAGTTCATGCGCGTTAAGACAGGCTAATGAGCATTTTCCTAGTACCTCAAATGAAGGGTGCCATTGGCGACATGTAGGGGGTGCACGTGGATGTACGTGCACACCCTGAGGTGGGTCGTGCACCCCCTGGAAGCACCAGCCACAAAACCGGAATTGCACTTCCAGGTTTGCTGCTGGCTCAGCAATTGGCTGCTGCCCCCACCCCAGCAATCAGCCACTGGGGGACCCCCCATCCACATCTGGTGCCCCCAGTCGCCCATGGAGGGCGCAGAAGTTATACCAATGCACTGGAAATCCAGTGTCCAAGCAAACTCACTTAATCAAGTCTCCTGGAGCATGCCAACTGCTGCACTCCAACAGCCTCTTGCATCTCCTGCCTCCAAGGAATTGTAGCTTGGGCACCCCGGCTGCCTTTTTTAAGTGTAGGGAGGCTGATATGGGAGATGCAGCATCGTTTTAATTAGAGGGAAATTAAATTAATTAAAACACCCTTTTCCCCCAGCCCCCGGAGCATGTGTAAAAGTACAAGGAGGTACTAGATTTAATGTGCATTAGTTAAGTGTGTTAATGCATGTGTAGATGCACCCACTGCCTCTAACCCACCCTGCAGAACATGAAACCCATTAGGTTGTGGAGCCACCACAGAAAGAGGTGAAGGGACAACTGGAAAGGAAAAGGTGTTGTTTTTGCCTTTAAAAATAGGGAAATGGAGAATACGCTACAGTTCTCCCTCCTGCAGTGGCAGGGAGGGACAGACTGAAAAGCAGCCCATCCTTCATTTCCATGAATCTTTGATTCCTAGAGGAGTGGGGGCTCATCACAGCATGACTTGTTTTCCTTTCCTTAAATTTCTTCATAAGTTGGATTTCTATATTGAGATATTGAATCAGCATGTAGGACTCCTGTGGTTTTGCTCCAGAAAGATTCAGCTTACCCTGAGGACAAAACCATGCATTAACTTTAATAAAGTTTTTGCAAAGCTACTAACAAATGTATGTGAGGTATCTTACCTTTCTCTGTTGCAAAATAACTCAAAGTTGCAGAACAGGAGAAAACTGTAAGCTGGTAGAATGGATAAACGTATTGTTTGTTTATTGCAAAAATTATCAATGATATAAATGCTGTTTTATCATACATCATTTTCATTGCTCCTTTATTGTATTGGTTTTGGCAAAAGCTATAAATAAATTAGTATTTGAATATGAACATCTGATGATAATGTTTCTTTTGAAAGGAGTGTCTTTCTGTAAAAGTAATGTTACTTTTAATCAGAAAGACAACATTTCATATTTAGCAGTCCAGATAGCTGTGTGAGCTACAGTGAAAGTTGCTAGAGCAACTCCACTCCAAGTTCTTTATTTTTCAGTATTCTTAATACCCTTAAAAGTAGCACTGACATGCTTACATCGTGCAAACCTGTTATCCAACCACGTGGAGAAATTCAGCCATTTTTTATAATGGAATGGAGTTCAAGAAATACTTTTTTATTTTGCCCACTGCAAGACTTTTTGGTAGCCTTGTATTGGATAGCTTCCAGGGTTAAAGTAACAAAAGAAAAAAACATGGAAAGGTGAAACTGGCTGCAGAAAAGTCTAACTGGTAGGAGTCTGTATTCAAGCGAAAATCAGTTCAGATTTGGCTGCACTGCTTTAGAGCTTGAGAATTGCACATCTCATCTAGGGAAGGTATGATCGTTAACAGATTTTTATTAATATTCTAAGTGAATGGTGGCTGGGTTGAAAATGTGTGCATAATGAAGGTATTATGTAAGGTACCCAAGTTGGTTGGGGTGTGGGAATTTTTAACATAACAGACTTTGCCTTAGTTGCAATTGTCAGTGGTTACTGACAGCCCATAGTGGAGTGCTGAGATTGTGGCAAAAACATCACGTGACCTTACCTTGTATTAAAGAATATGATTAAAAAGTACCATAATGCATGAGATGCATAAGCATAGTTAGTTGTGCATGCATCCTGAATGTTCTCTTACGATGCAAAGGAAGAACTTGAAATAAACAGAAAAGTAGCATAAACTTAGAAAATAAAGTTATTTATTGTCAAATTATATAGAGTACTTGAGATAATACATAGGAATGCTTGAATTCAAAATAAAGGAAAGAGGAAAAAATAATCAGATTAAGGGGGAAATAGAGCATATAAAATTCCTTTACCTGACATAAAATGTAATCAAGGGCTTTCATGCCACACAATAAATATTGCTCAACATCTGTCTGTTGCAGTAGACTAGTCCTTTACTTACTCCGGGAACTTCTTAAATTTCAGTGCAGACATGAAAGGATAAAGCAAAACATCTGTAGACAGAAAAGTCAACAGATTTCCAGAAGCAAAGTGTTATGTTTTAAAATCCATAGCAGTCAGATTAAGGAATGCTCTGTGCAAGACTGCAAACACCAGCTGGGGCCCAAGTACAAAGCAGAACATTTTGGGAAAAGGAAGAGGAGCATATGGGCAACATAATACTCTTCCTAGTTATCATCCTAAAATATATGTAGAGTAGATCTATACTTCCCCTCAAATTCTAACAAATGGGAGATTGTTTAAAAAAATACTATTTTCTATCATTTTTTGTCTGTAGTTCATTGAACTGATTATCAGCTACTGAAAAATTAAAATGACCTTTAGTTCTAGATATATTTCTGTTAACATAATCCTTAACTAGTCACTGTTTGCAATTAACTTTAAATTAATTATTATCTGGAGTCAGATTTTTGACTGTAGCCCCACTGTTAAGTTACATCAGCTGAGGATCTGGGGAAGGACAGGAATGTGCTCAGTCTATGACAGACTAATCTCATGAAATGATGAAAGGCTGTAGTAGAAGATGCTATGCTGATAAATTACATGAAAGACAATGGAAGAGAAGGAATACTCATTTTAGGGCAGCGATTGCGCCTTCATGCATGGTTATACAGTGTGTACAGGTTCTAGTCATGACTTACGATGTTGAGCACTATTATAACATGATTAAAAACATTAAAAAATAATAGTAATGATAATGTAGACCAATACATGGTCTACATAATGTAAACAATACACCTCGATTTTAAAATATAAAGTGATTTGCAAGCCCAAATTTCTAAGTTGAGAAGAAGGATAAAGACTAAATACAGCGAGAAAAAGAAGTTCTTAGTACCTCAGAGTTTGTTGCTCATCCAATTTAAAGTGTAAATAAATAGAGTCAAACATAACATACACTGTGTAAAACAAAGTGAATAAAGTATCCAAAATGGAAGAAATACTCAGAGATCTTTAATGGCAAGGGATTGCTTATAGTGTTAGCTCTGCCTCAACACCTTGAGTGGATTAGAACTGCCTTTTGAACTTAGTTCAAATGCAAGAATAGAAAATAATGGTATTTTTTATTACATAGCACAGAGTGAAAACTTTAATCCTACTTCTAGTGAATAAGTACTTATTAACAAAAACCTGCCTTTGGAAAAAAAAGATATTCAGTTGAATTAATACTGGAAAAAGATCTAATACATAAGTGGGAATAGAAGCATGATACTTTACCACTGTTTAATAAACTAAAGATGCTTTTCTGGTTTTGACATTTCTGTCTGTGCTGCTTTTACTTCAGGTGAGACCAATATGTTCACTGCTGGCTGATAGAGGTGCACCACATTAGGACTCCAGAACAGATCCAGGCTGTACAATTGTCAGGTACTCAGAATCCTCCTCACTTCTAGTATTTACACAGATGTACATGTCACCAAACTGGATTGAATTAAACCTTTCCCCTGAGATGAGATTGCTGCAACTCTGCCATTTATGTGTTGATGCAGTATTGGGAGAACAACAGTGCAGGATTTAAACTAGTTGTCTTGTTTTTAATTTTTCACCTTTTTTTTTCTTGGCAAAAATACTTCTTAGTCCATCATCATTCTCCTTATCATACATAAGCACCTATCCAAAGGTTCCAAAACTAACATTTCAAAACATGGGCGGCTGGTGCCTCTTGAGTAAGGGGGGGCACTTCCCCACCCCCCCCCAGTGACCAGTCATCGACGGGGGGGGTCCCCCACAGCCGATCCCACCAACCCACAAGTGGCAGCGTCGCGCTGCTGGCACTTCTGAGCACACTGCTGACACTTCTGGGACAGCGCTAGCACTTCCGGGTAAGCCCCCACTCCCCAGCCAGTGCTCTCAGGGGGAGCACCAGCACTCTTGCCTGCTCCCCCGCCTGGGAACGCTGGCTGACGGGGTGCACCAGCGCTCTCAGGGGGTACATGTGCACCCCCGTGTACCCCTACGCATCGCCACTGTTTCAAAACATTTACAGAGTAAAAAGCAATACAGTAAATTGCTCATCTGACTCAAACATTACTAAAAGTCAGTTCAGGTAAATGTATTGGTTCTTTCCTAGCCTCCTGCAATTACCTTCTTCCACCCTGAAAAAAAGGATGTGTAAAAGGTTAACCAGAAGATCAATAAATCCAATCCAAGTGCAAGGTAAATTCAAAGTAAAAAGACCTTCACAGAACAATCTCTCTCTTGTAATGAGATGGAGTTACAGGCAATGATCTCCAGCTTTGCCACCTCAGCTACTTGAAAACATGTAGTGTATTTCCAGGAGGGTGGTATTAGATTGTTGGGTTCCAGATAATATACCTTTGGAGCATAAGGTCTAAAGCTCCAGATGGCGGAAGGCTGGGGCTAACAGGGCTTAGTTCCTGCAAACGCGGGACAGCAGGTAGGGGCACAGGGCATCCCAGGCACAGGCTCCAGGTGGGTGTAGTGGGGGGGAGGGGCAAGCACGGACTCAGACACTCGCAGCCTGGCATGTGGATCACTGCCCAGCACAGCAGGCAACTCTAAATCTAAGAACTTGAGTTCATCTGGAAAACCTATATGTAGCTAGTAAAGATTATAAACTTAGTATTCTATGCTCTCAGCTTGAAACTCAACTCAGCAAGCAGGCAGCACTTCACTTTCTATTTCTAAGTGGTTTCAAGATGTAACCCTGAGCAGAGCACATTACAGTCATCTAGCCTTGCAATAACAAAGGCATTAATGAAAATTAAAGAGACTCTGCTGCCTCAGTGAAAATAGTGAAATAGCTTTTTGAAGAGCTAACCACAGTCACCAAAGGTCTACTGAGTGCCAAATGAAATTTCTCTTCTTCAGATTTCTGGGGGAACTCTACCTTATGTGAAGATGTCAGGAGCAAGACTCCAGGAGCCATGCAGTGAGTGCAGTCACACTGGAATGGGAGTCAAGAGGTGGATTGCTTTCAGTTTCAAACCTCTTCACTAGGAGGTGGTGTGGTGGCTGCTGCAAGAGAGGCCACATGCAGCTCTTCAGAAGTTAATATGCGTCTCCTTGAATCTTTGCACAAGCACACAGTAAACAGCTTCCAAATGGAAGTAGTGCCCTCCCCCCACAGCCCCAGCCATGTGCTGCCTGCAATGGCTGCTTGCTGAAATGGAAGCTGGTTACTGTGTGTTTGTGCAAAGATTCAAGGAGATGCATATTAACTTCTGAAGAGCCACATGTGGTTCCAGAGCCACAGGTTGGCCACCCTTGTCTTAGAATCACAGACAATTAGGTTTGGAAGGAACCTCAGGAGGTCATCTAGCTCAAAGCAGGACCATCCCCAACTAGATAATTACAGCCAGGGCTTTGCCTAGTTGGGCCTTAAAAACCTCCAAGGATAGAGATTCCACAACCTCTCTGGGTAACCTGTTCCAGTGCTTTACTACCCTCATAGTGAGAAAGTTTTTCCTAAAATCCAACTTAAACCTCCCTTGCTGCAGCTTGACACCATTGCTCCTGGTTCTATCATCTGTCACCACTGAGAACAGTCTAGCTCTTGAGTGTTTCTCCCCCTGGGTTAGGGATAGAAGTTACACATAAACTGGTTTAAGTGATCAGAAACTGGTTTAAACCTGTAACAGAACAGAAGTTCAGTGCACATAAACCAGTTTCAAAATGTCTGAAACTGATTCAAAATAAACCTAGTTGAATGTAGTATCAGACTTAACTGATTTGGGTCAAACCGGTTCATGAAACTTCTGTCCCAGACCCCTTCCTGCTTCAAGTGAAATCAGAGTCCCCCAGGATCCCAGCATGCTTTCCAGCCCTGGGCTGTGCTCTATGCTTCAGCAGAAAAGGGTCGGGGGAGGGAGATGGGGCAGGGACTGCCCCCACACCACAGGCAAAACCTGTCTGGGGCCAGGGAAGAGGCATTAAACCTCCCCCTTCTCCTGAGTACAGAGCTGCCCTGCCATGCTAAACTTACTGCTAGCTGCAGCTGTGGACTACAAATCCAGAGGCACCACCTCTGCAGGAAGAAGAAGTGATGAGCATCCCTGCAGAGTTCTTCTGCTGTGCTGCTGGACTGCAAATCCCAGAGACCTCAGGGGCAGCAGGAAGAGGGATAAGAAAGACACAGCCCATGCCAGCTACATTCCAGAGAGCTGTGCTGTAGTGTCCCCACCTTCTGGCCTGAGTTACTGTAGGCATGTGGCTGCAAAAAGTAAATGTCTGTTCACTTGTTAGTCAGTTTAATCTCTGCAGTTTAGGCCGACCTGCAAAGTCTGAATTGATTCAGCCTCGGGCTTTTTGACTGTACTTAGCCCTGGTGGTGAGTTCACCCACTTCCTTATGGTGTCTGGACCTCAGGAATTAGAGGAAAAGAAAAAGGGAATAAGCTTAGGAAGCAAAAAATAGAGGGAACAGAAGAGAGGCCACAGAAGAAAGGTAAACATACTGGAAGCTGGAAGTGAGAGGGAAATAGTGGAAAAAGCTCTGCTCATATCCTGTTTACTCTCCCTTTCAGTATCCACTCTGCCATTGTATGACTGAGGATATGGAGCAAAATGGACCTATGGTCTAAACTAGTAAGTAGCAGTTCTTATGTTCTTATAATGAGAAATTCTGTTCTCAATAGATACTTAGACTCAGTAGGTTCTCATCACCAAGCTAGCTAAAGTACCTTCTTCTGGTGCATTAAGGTAGCTGACTAATAAATGGCACATTCTCTCCTCCTCTCCCCACAGGTAGACGTATGTGTAATAGAATATGGTAGGAAATATTTACTTATACATATACCTACATGTAACCTGTGCTGGCATGCTAGGCCCGGTGATGTGCCGGATTTTGGATGATCAGAGCGCCAGTAGTCCTGGGAACCACCTCAGGCAGGTCTGCTGACTCAGGTGTCCCGTGGAGGGGTGTGTGCCTCACCCTCACTGCCCAAGATTTGTTCCAAACCCCAATAATTACATTGGTTTCTTTATTATGTACAACTATATACAGAAATTTGAATAGAATTTACAACTGCAACATTAGGTGAATAATTCTGCAACGTTAGGTGAATACAAGGGTAGTCCCACTTGCATCAAACAACCTCAGTGATTACATTCACCTGGTTATAAGCCTTTAAAACAGCTTCTTCCCCATAACCTAGGTTGACTTCCCTCTGGTCACAATCCCCTTCCCATAACAATAAATGGCAACACAGTTTTAACTATGATCCACCACTAGATGGCAGAGGCAAGGCTTCTGCTGCTCAGGGGAAAGTAGACTCTGGTCTTTCTTGGTAACTCAGCAAAAACAAGTCTCCAATCAGCCACTGCAGGTAATAGGTTTCTTTTCTTTAGTTTCCGTCTGTGTTCCTGATTGTACACCTCTGACCCAGGTGGGGAATCAGCTTCTCCTGGGATGACTCAGGCTCTTCTCCATCCTGAGCTCTGCTCCCCAGCAAACATCAGCTCTGTTCCCTCTGTCTGGAGAGGGGAGGGGGAAAGAGGGGATGAGTCTCTGCCCCTCTCTCCAGGCTGATGTTGCTCTCCTCCAGCTTCTCCCCAGCTGCTTTCCCTTCCCTCAGCTTTTTATTAGGGGTGCACTAATAGAGATTTTGTGGGCCGATACTGATAGCCAATATTTAAGGAGGTATATCAGCCGATACCAAACCAATATCTGATACATATGGCATCAGGTGGTAAGTCCAGTGTGGTGGAAAGGGAGGAGGGAGTGAAGGGGTATGGGGGGAAAATCAACACCCCCCTCAGTGATGGAGGGGGCAGCAGTAGGTGCTGCCCAGCCAGGGCTGGGGGGGAGCTGCGGGACAGAGGCACGGCTCGTGTGGTGGGGACAGATCCCACCACTACTTGCACAGTGCAGGTGCATGACAAACAGGTCCAGGGAGGTGATACTTCCCTCTACTTGCACACTGAGAGGGCAGTACTGGGAGGGGGGGGGCATGTGCCCCCAGATCTGCACAGCATGGGGCGGGCTGCAGCTGTGGGGTGGAGCTGGCACTGTGCGGGGCTTTTCTTGCCGGGGGCTGGGCTCAGAGCAGGTTCTAGTGGTGCCAGAAGGAAGCTGCAGCCACCCCAAACTTGGCCGCATCTCCACTCCCAGCCCCGCATCACCAGGTGCAGCCCCAGATGAATGCCCTTCCTCCACCCAAGTGCTGGGAAAAGCCGTTGCTGCGCCAAGTGGCAGCGAGGGGCTAGGAGCGGAGCTGCAGAGAAATTTGGGCTGCACCACTGGAGCCTGCTCTGAGCCCAGCCCCCAGTGAGAACAGTATGCAGCACCGGCTCCGGCTCCACCCTGGAGCTGCTGCCCACCCCACCCCACACAGATCTGGGGGCACACGCCCCCTACCCCTCCCGGGGTGCAAGCAGAGGCAGGAGCTGCCCCCACCTCATAAGCCACAGCTCTCTCCTGCAACCCCCCTGCACCCCAGCTGGGCAGCACCTGCTCCCTCCCTCACTGTGTCGGGGAGTTGATCTGCCCCCCTATGCCCCTTCCCTCCCCCCTCCCCTTCCAACTTATCAGCTGGAGGCAGCTCTCCATGCTGCTAGCTCTGCTCCGTGTTGCGCTGCGGCTGTCACTGCAGCACAGGCATTTATTGGCTAAATTATTGGCCCCATTGACCCGATATCTGATATAGACAATTTTCTTTATATTGGTACCGATATGATATCAGACCGATGTATTGGTGCACCTCTACATTTTATGGTTCTGTAGTAGCCAGTCAGAGCCTGGTCACAGTTCAGATGCTCCAGTAAAAAGTATGCATTGTGCACAGTATATCCTCCATTTGGAAAAGCTGCTGCACCCTCTACAAACTATTTTGCTGCCTTTCTTGCAAAGTTCTTAGGAACAGCCCACTCACTCAGCCTGCAGCCAAGCAAAGCTTTGGAGCTGTTCTATATGTATTGTGAGACACCTCAACATTTAAAAAATGTAGCTGACACTTAGGAGAGAAAGTGATATGATTTGTATTGGTCTTCAGTTCCAGGGGGAATTCATTCCATAGTCTTGGACTGGCTGTTGATAAAGTTCTCCTGCACAGCTGAACTTTACATTTAGTATAAGGATAGTTCCAAAGGAGCAAAGATGTTGAGAATATAAGAGCATGAAAAGGTGGGTAAAAAAAGAAAGGAGAGGGAAGAAAGAAATTCAGGAGGCAAAAAGATAAAGAAAGTGGGAATTGTGAGATAATTATGAAAGAAAAAGGTAAGCAAAAATGTTAAATGCCAGGTATCCAGCAAGAGGTAAGGACTGGGATCACAGCCTCTGGCTCTGGGTGTCAAAACTAAATATCAGATGAGAAGCAACAATCAGGAGTCATAGTCACTGCTACAAGCACCAAAGCCAAACATTAGATAAAAGGAATTGAGTGTGTCTTGTCTTTCAGGCTATTCTAGGGAGGGCCATTGTGAACATATCCTATGTTCATTTGCTTCTACTCCATTCATGCTAAGTGCCAAAAGAGAATAACATAGTGGTCTTCTTGGACATACGGGAGTCCCAGCTACCACAAATGTTCAGTGAGAACAACTCCAAAATGTTGTTTTCTAGTAAGGAACCTGCAAGTAACTTAAAGTTTGTTTTTTTAAACTTTTAGCTTGAAACATTGACAGGGCCAAGGCCTTTCCCCTCCATTTTGATGGGACTGTTCATGGGAGTTTCATAGTTGCAGAAATCCCTGCATGAGCTCAAGACAGCTATACTATCTATACTATATAGAAGTTGGGGAGAGGGGGGATATTTTAGAATTCCCTGAATATCTTCAAGTTGTTCTGTACTCCATGCTGTGAAAATTCCCTTACCAAAAGTTTATGGTATAGAAATACTGAATTAAATGAAGGTTCTCTATAAGCTTGATCATTTAATATCAGGAATAACATGATTGCAACATTGGTTGTGTCCTTCCTACAATGATATACTGATAATAATCAAGCTCTTTTGGCAGTTGCTGACTGGTTAAACTGCAGTTTACACAGATTAGCCTTTAGTCTCTAGTGCTCTTTATTTTTACTTATGTAATCACCTGCCCTGCAAACGGACTAGAAACCAGACCAGAATGATGCCCCTTTCTATCATTCAGGGCAATGAAAGATCAGTTTCCAAGTGTATAATTTAAGAATTATTTAATATCAGTTGATTACAAACTCCAAATTTTTATTTTTTTAATTTTAAGAAGGCTTGAGAAGCTAGAACTATTTAGGGTTAACAAGAAAAGACAGCTCTGTGAATGCCATCTACATAAATATTATCCAAATGATGGATGGGTTGATGGACTATATTCAATAATTCATCAAGATAGTGTCTCCATGTAAAGTAGGCTGTTAATTAGAGGGGGGTTTTGGAAAGAAGGGCACACAATGGTATCTGTATGATGAGGGGATGACTCAAGAGACAAGACAGGCAGGGGTTTAAGTGATTTCCATCAAGAGATGTCTGTGTTGTGAGTTTTTATCTTTAAAGAAGTTTCAACTGTTTGTTTACCAGGCAGAAATTCCTGAGACCTTCTACTTTAGGTAAAATTCCTTTTGACTGACTTTAAAACATTCCCTGGTTCAATGCCTAGAGGAGCCAGGAGTGCCATCCTTAAAGCAGCAATTAAAAGACTCCTCCCTCCAAAACCTCCAACTGTTCTTTTGGCACTTCTTCCATTATCACAAACCTTAAAATGTTCTTACCGGGAATATGGGCTCTTCTGAGGCATGATCAATATGAATATGCCATTTGAGTCTGAAAAAGAATGTTCCTATCATAGTCACAAAAGAGATTTTTTTTCTATGTTATCTTATTTTTCACTTTATTTAGTTCACTTATTTGCAAACCGTGTGGATAGAATCAGTTAAACTGTTTGGTCAGTGTAATTAGGCTGTTTCTTTCTTTCTTACAAGACTCTCATAACATCAGGAAGGGGCAGGAAAAAATCTTATAATCATCAGGCAAGTCCCAGCCAGCTCTAGGCTGCATGTGCAGACTTCCCTGCACAGCCCAGGGCTGGCCAGGAACTGTCCTGGTCTAGGGAAGGTCCCAGGCATACAGCTCTTTCCCAGCCCTGTGCCCTGAACTTTCCAAGCTCCATCCCTCTATCACGTGATCAGGGCAGGGGGCTGGGAAAGAGCTGCAGGGGAGGGACAGGTTCTAGCCTGGGCTCTGCCATCAGCGCCTGGTCTGGCAGCAGGCGGCTCCTGGGGCAGGGAGCAATCTCTCAGCCCCTGCCAGGAAACAGCTGTCTCCTGGCCCTGTGCTCCCTGCCAGTCTCTGGACCAGCACCCAGGCAGAGCCTGGAGTTCCCCCTGGCTACTGCAGGGGGGAAGAGCAGGTTGGGAGCAAATCTTCCAAATGCCTACATGTGTAGATGCCTGCCCAGGGTGGGTTTACTCCTCAGTAAATTACTGCAGAGTAAACCCATCCAGCAGCATTTCCACATGCAGATGCATCCAGTGAAACCCAAAACAGTCAATAGCTTCAGTCACTAGCAAACCAGCCCAGAGGGCCTACCACCTAACCCCTTTTGTTTGAAAGGAAGAATCAACCAGGGCTGCCATCCTGGGGCTCTGCCACTTATGCCAGCGAAAAGTGACCTCGAA